ACTCAGAGTCTCCAACAATTCATTACGATATTCACGCGGACTTCAAGTAGCCTGTATCTACCAACATGGCTCAGATCAAAAGTCAGTAACTTCATGAACTGATACCGCGTTTTGGTTTAGTCTTCCCTAACTTTCTGCCATGTCTCTAACATGAGTCAGCATTGCGCGCCGCTGTAGTCAGTACTTGGGCATGCGTAATACGTGCCCTAACCATCTCAATCGATGGAGATCCACAACCTCATCAACTGATTTACCATCATTCCCTAATACTTTGCGTCTTACCTCACTACTACTTACTTAGTGTTCCCATCAGATGCGAGCAATATTTCTAAGACACCTGAGATCGAATAATGGTAACTAACGAGTATCCTCTACCTTTAATAGAGACGCTTCGCAACCGTAAAGTAAAACAGAACTAACTACTGAGTAACATACTCTTCCTTTAATTGATAGACGGATATTTCGCCTTCGCCATAGGTGACAAAAGTTGGCAAAAGCCAAATCCGTGCAGTGATTTTGTCAGACACCAACCCATTAGGGCTGATAAAACTTCCAAAATAATATAAGTGAAGTTGTCGAAGCGTTTGACTACTTCACTCCCTATCATCAGTTCAGGTGTTTACACAGGCTAGTCCTGGAGCAACTTGCATTTAAAAGGGAAGAGACGCATTCCAAACATTCTGGCATTGTTGCTCAGTGCTACCAAGATTGTATTTTTCAGCGTCTTCACCAAACAGGACTATCGTCTGCATATTCTAAGTCCATAAGTGAACCTCCCTGTAGGAGATCAATCCCCAAAAATTCAGACGACGAGAACGTTATTTCCAGCGGTAGGATTATGATGAAGTTGAACAAAAATGGAGATAGTGGACAGCCTTGACGGACAACACTTGAGGTTACAAAAGCAGATGACAGTTCGCCATAAGCTCTCACTGGACTGGTAGTGTTTAAGTAAGGAGCCCTGACGAGGTTTATGTACTTCTGAGGTACGCCTTTCAATGACAGACACTGCCACAGAATCTCGCGGTCGACGGAGTCAAATGCTGCCTTTAAGTCAAGAAAGACCACCATTGTCGGACACCGATAAGTATGCCCATGTTCTAGAACCTGACAAATGGTGAATATGTGGTTGATGTAGCCACGACCAGGTCTGAAACCGGCCTGATTTTCTCGTGTTTGCAGTTCACGAGTCTTAGTTAGGTGTCTGATAATTATGGAAGCTAGTATTTTAGATGCTATATTAGTCAAACTAATTCCTTTATGGTCGGTTATCACAGGATGGTTTTGACCCGTTCTTATACATTGGGACAATCAGTGCTTGCAACCAGTCAGTTGGGATTTTCTCACACTTGACTTATTAATCCCGGTTTCTTTTATCAGTCTGAGAAGCTGTTTGGTGTTACCTACAGCCGCCGCCTTTTCCATCTGTTTTGCTTTCATTGCCCACCACTGCTCACGGCCGTTTCTTAGATATTTGCTCAATCTAGATCTGATTTGCTTACGCATTACATCGTGTTCAGAACCTGATGGGATGAGTTTGCGAGAATCTATCAGTTTAATAGACCTTTGTAACCCTTTGGTTTAAATCACTAATATCTTTCCAAGCAACATCTGGGTCAGCCTCGTTTTCAGAACTACCTAAGTGTGACCTCACTTGTTCCTGGAACCTACTTTTGGTTTTCTCGCTACTCAATTCAGTTCTAATGGGTCTTTTTATTGTGGCTTTTTTGCGTCCAGTGAGTCACAAGCAGATGCGTACCCGTATTAGAGCATGGTCGGAGTCCAAGCAGGTACACCAGAATGAGCGACAATCTTCTACCGACCATCTCCAACGATGACTGGTGGCAATATGGTCTATTTGAGTCTATCGTTGGTTTGGTGTAGGGGGTCGCCATGTTAGACAATGTCTCTCCTTATGCCTAAAATTAGTGTTTACTAAAAATAAACGATTGTCTGAGCGCAGTTGCAGCAGACGATCATCATTATCTCTTCGCTGTTCCGGAATACCAAAATACCCACCTTAAAGGTTAAGCATTTGCGCGCAAGACTGAAGGCCCTGGATTCGAATCACGCGAGCGGGATCGTGGGTGCGCACTGCTAAGGAGTCCCACAATAGAACGAAACGGTCGTCCAGTGCTTCCACGTTTTCAATGATGGTCCAACATCAATCGGTTCATGATCTCAATCAATAAATGTCTTTCTGTTTTGTTTCAGCTACCTACCCTGGCATGAAGGTCCCCTGCTATGAGTACTATGTCTGATCGCTTAGCTTTATGAAGCAGTTTAGAGAGCTTTCTGTAAAAGTCATCTTTCACTTCATCCGGGCTTCAGTCAATGGGAGCGTAGGCAGAAACGACGAAAAGACAACGACGTGTGTCCATATCCTTCCGAGTTCTTACGGAGTCGTTTAGTCGAACAGCACATAGACAAATGTTAACGGGCATCCACTCTAACAGTGCTTGTTCCGCCCTCATGCTTAGTGCTATTCTCACACCTACCAGTCCACAAGAATCAGCCATGGAGTCGTCAGATACACGGATAGTGTGTCTCGTTGGCTCTCCGTTTTGGCGAGGTGGGGTCAAGTGAATGACCACACTAGGATCCTGTGTGTGTGTTTCGGAGACACAGCATACGTAAATGGTACGAGATTCTAGGGTTTTAGCCAAGGAAGCCTGCTGACCGATTTGACATAGGGTGCGTACGTTGAAGGCTCCAATGTGTAGTTTGTAGCGAGGTTTCAGTAGACCTGGGACAGTGTTTTGCGCACTAGAATCGTTGGCTATGGTGACACTTGAGGAGGAAGCCAAAAGAGTAAGTTTAGAGTTGAAATTCGATGTAGGATTAATGATAAGAATTGAAGGGGTTGATTATGAATACAGTTGTCTTGAATGCTGCTAGAGGTATGAAGGCGGTTATCACTTCTTGGTAGCCTACACCGTGGAGGGGTCCTTCTGGAGGTACCTGAAAAGGAAATTGGAATAAAGGCGGTTTTAGTGACTTCAGAATGCTACCGCAGTGCCCAAGGGACAACTGCTCGAGGTCGGCCACATACAACTTTTTGTTAGTAATTTTCGTATTACCTCCTTACTTGTTTGGATCTTACCACCGGAGACGGATATCCGTGGGATAAGGCGAGGTGTGCATTTTTAGGGTCGACCTTTTCTAACCCCACCTCTACTTGTGGGAAGGCAGCACCGCTGTCATGCTGGTAGTCTGAAGGAAACACCTTACTGCCGTCACACCTCTGTACAGTCAGCAGTACGACTTCGCCTTCGGACCTTGGGTTTGTTGATTTTAATCTTACTGCTCTTCAACCGACCTGCCTCCCAATCAATGTTGGCCAGCCAACAATTGAAGATATCAGCATGGTCATCAGAAAATCATGAGCCACAAAGCAGCAGGACCAGACAACATTCCAGCAGTCACTGTATGCAGATGTAGTAGTAACCACAACGTTACTCCACATTCTCTTTAGCTAGGTTTGGGATGAAAAACGAGTACCAACAGACTGGAAAGGAGGACACCTGATCAGGATACCAAAGAAGGGCGAATCCAGCAAGTGTGATAACTACATTGGCCTCACTCTTCTCTCAATACCAGGAAGTCTTCAGCAGGGTATTTTTAAACAGAATGAAGGACTCTGTAGACGCCTAACTTCGAGGCCAACAGGCTGAGTTCCATAAGGATCGATCGTGTACAGACCTAATCGAAACACGACGGATCATTGTGGAACAATCAATTGAATGGAATTCATTACTCTACATCGACTTTACTGACTACGAGAAAGCGTTTAATAGCATGGACAGGACAACACCATGGAGACTTTCTCGACACTACGGAATTCCTATGATGGATTACACTGCAAAATTGTGCATAGCGGACAGCTCACAGACTCGTTCAAGTAAAGACTGGTATCCTGTAAGGTTGCTTATTTTTACCGTTTCTCCTAGTGATCGGCTGGATCGTGAAGATGTCAACATCTGGGGGGAAGCACTGGATGCAATGGATGGCTAGGATGTAGCTGGATGATCTAGGCTTCGCAGATGATCTGGCTCTTCTATCTCATACGCGACAACAAATGTAGGCGAAGACGACCAGTGTAGCAGCAGCAGTAGGTCTCAATATACACAAAGGGAAAAGCAAGATTCTCCGTTACAACACAGTATGCACCAATCGAATCACGCTTAACGGAGAAGATTTGGAAGATGTAAAAACCTTTACATATTTGAGCAGCATCATTGATGAACACGGTGGATTTGATGTAGATGTGAAGGTGCGGATCGTCAAGGCAAGAGTAGCATATCTACAATGAAGAACATCTGGAACTCAAAACAACCGTCAACCAACACCAATTTCAGAATTTTCAATACAAATGTCAAGGCAGTTCTACTATATGGGGTGGAAACCTAGAGAACTACGAAAGCCACCAACCAAAAAATACAGGTGTTTATTAACAGTTGTCTACGCAAAATACTTCAGATCCGTTGGCGGACACTATTAGCAACAACGTACTGTGGGAGAGAACAAACCAGATCTCAGAGGAGGAAGAAATCAGGAAGAAGCACTGGAAGTGGATAGGACACACATTGAGGAAAGAACCCAACTGCGTCACAAGACAAGCTCTCACATGGAATCCTCAAGGCCAAAGGAAAAGAGGAAGACTGAAGAACACATTACGCCGAAAAAATGGAGAGAGACATGAGAAAAATGAACAATAATTTGGATAGAACTAGAAAGGAAGGTCCAGGACAGAATGGGTTGGTGAATGCTGGTCGGCGGTCTATGCTCCATCGGAAGTAACAGGCGTAAGTAAGTAGAAAGTAATTCTGATGTTTAAGTTTTTTAAGTCAATTAATTTGATTGACTAAAGAAAATCTTTTACTGTGCAAATTAGCTCCAATCCAAGCAATTTACCATGTATGCCTAACTTATTCTTCTGTTAGTATGTTTAGCAATTTAAACTATTTTATAGAAAAGAGTATAAATTCTGTTTCAATATTTTGTTTATTACGATGAATAAATAAATAAATATCATCCTGATAAATTCTATTTTCAAAAGTAGTCGTGAAGCTGTTCCGTAGACGCCATCGGTTAAATTGTTTCATTATGGCTACCCCGTTGTTTTTTCAACCAGAGTTTCTTTTGACAATGTAGTTCCACCTTGAAGAAGAATTGCAATTTAAATACCTACATTTAATTTCCAAGTTATCTAATACATTTACTATAAATATAAGCATTTGCCCATGTAAATCTCAGTTTTGCATTAACAAACTTATTATATACATGTACGAGTAAGTTGACGATTATTTTTACTTCGAAATAATACAAATAAGTATATTACATCTTTATTTATTTGTCCTTACTCACCTATGCTAATAGTACAGTTCAATGTGTAACAATATAAGGCTAGTGTTTCTTACTTGAGCTCTTTTTCCTGAAAAAAATGAGTGTAAATTGTTTTTTACTACCTGTTGTTAGTCACCAATAATTGGTAACTGCACAATCTATTTATTTTTTCAGTTCCTAGTGTTAATAAATCTAAATCCTCTATAAATCTATGTTAATGTTTGTCGCTTTTAGTCATTGTAATATATCCTAATCCTTGAAAATGAAAGTTTAATGTCCATGCTAAAAAATGTCGTAAACCATGTTTATGCTTTATATAAATGTGTCAACAAATAAACAACAAAACTGCTTCAAAGCATTAGTAAAATAGTAATGCAGAATTCTGGGTATTCAGTATAATGATTTGCCATGTAATACACAGCATTTTATACTTAAAGAATGTGACTTACTTCTGCTATCTTTAGTCTTCGAGTGTATATATTTTGTTTGCGTGTTAAATCTCGTTCTTCGCTAACCAATTTTACAAAATCGATTACAGATGGCACACGATATGATGAGATTTGGTCCTCGAATTTTTCGTTAAGAGTTCTTTCCAATCGTAATTCCTTCATGAAAAACAAGGAAGTTAAAGTGTCTGCGATTATATTCAGTTGGCTCAGGGTGAAGTTTTATCACTATAAGAAAAATGTTTCGCCATGATCTGTTATATTTACTATCATATACAACCAAGCATTTATCTGAGTGCTAGGCTACCTATCGATCTACACTCCTAAACGTTTATGTTCGTATCATTCAGTTAAATAACAGTGGTGTATCTATGTGCTTCTCACTCAGTTTTTATGAGAAACAGCCATTTTTCACTTCAACACTGTGCATTGGATTATCAAACAGATATTTTCAGCAGCCTAATATCAAAAATCGCTATATAAGATTTAAGCCTTGATAATGAGTAAGTTGTCAATAATCATATTTTTGTAGAAATTCAAAATTTACATATTATATAACTAAAGTCGTGATTTTTCCAATGCTTGTTATTTATTGGCTAACTTTTCTGATTGTACGCCGCGTATATGTTGTCAAGCATCATATGTTATCTAAGAATCTTGTTTCGGAATTTCAGACTGTCTAACTGCTTTCTGGTATTTGTAGTATTTCGATTGGTGGTAGGAAATATACCTTATGAGCTGTAATATATATATATATATATATATATATATATATATATATGGGTTAACTTATTGATTCCAAAAAGAGGTACCTGCTTTGCTAGGATGGTCTCACTTTCGACGCGCTTTTGCATTTCTCGACGTTGCTTTTGTTCTTCTTTAATGTATTTCTCCTCTTGTAATGCTTCATTTAACTTTTTCTAATGGAACATAGTCAATGATGTATAATATTGTTACTTTGTATCCATTTAGGATTTGAAGTGTCCTTGCAGCAGTTATTTTCATTTTCTGAATATTATGATTTTTTTCATCGATTTCTGCAAGACATTTAGTGTTATCTATCTTCATCTGTTCAAAATCGACAGCACCTAACACATCACCAGATTCCTTTTGCCTCAGCTGTTCTTCAAATTTCTTCAAAGTACTTTTTATAGAACTATTTTTCAAACGAAGTTTATCCGATTGAGTGTCCTATAATGTATACAGTGTTAAGAAATAAAATATTCAAAAACATCAGAAAAATGCTTAGTATTGGGTTACGTTGTAACTAAACATTTGTACTAATTTCTGCATCTTTTTATTTCGCTAGGAAATTATGACTTAATGTGTCCAAATTTGTATTTCAACCACTAAGACTATTCATGTCCAGATTTGATCAGCGTGTTTTGTTTATTACGCTATATCCAATCTAGACGTATATTGCTGTTATACTAAAGTGTATTGTTGTTTATGGAGTGATATCGGCTAGACTAACGACGTTACATAGCGAACGCAGTCCTATTTCAATCTAAACCTCACAAATATGCACATTTTACTGAGATTCATATAAGGGTTTAATTGGTTTAAATCCTTAGCCAAAAATATAAAAACTACTCCATGATCATGTACTGCTACACTCTCTCCCGACATTACTGGTCGAAAATTAGAAAATAAGGTGTCAGTGCTGTAATTATCTCCCTCATGTAATTCGATGTTTGTTACACACCATAATTATTAGTTGATCTGCGTCAGAATAAATAAGAAAGTGTCCATTAAAAAATAGAATGCCAAGTTATGAACCTAGCCAACGCCAAGGTTGGAATTGACCGATTTTTTGGATGCATGTATTTCCGAATATGCTATATCAGCATTTATGATAAGGAATTGTCAATAAGTGTCTTCCTTAGGAACAGTGTGAAATCCTAGACGTCTGAGCATAAAACATGGTTTGAGGGTGGAAACATATTTAATGAATAAACATACTTTGCTCACTTAGAAACTTATGTCAATCGTTTGCGCCCCCAATAAGTTCAAGTTAGGTACTATATAAAAATAAACTTCAACATCGAGTAATAGATTACGTGACAAACTAACTATACTTACAAGAAATTTCGAGTAGTCGTCCGAAAAACGTAGGACCTTCTCAGCTGGAACAACTTGAAGACCCTCAGATGAATTCTTGTTTCCCACTAGTTTGCAAAATTGGTTATAATTTTTCAGGATTTCTTCTTGACGTGCTTTCAACTCTTCAGAAATAGCCTGATGAAAATGGGACAGTACCATTAATATGAGTCACACATATATTACTTTTTGTAGATCCAATGCTTTTTCAAAGCTAATTCGTGTCTGTTCACTTTCGTTTTTGAGGTCTTCATATTGTGCTTGTAGTATAAGACATTTCTGTTCATTTGTCAACGTGACAAACCTATCTATAGCAGAACTCCTACTCTTTGAACGCTTTCTCACCAATGATGCCCTCCTACTCAGTGATGGCATAACTTTCCTGATGATTTGCAGTGATAAACATTATTTACATATATTTCACAAACTCTGTTTCAATTTCTAGTTTGCCTAGAAAGCTCTTGTAACACTCATTTTCCAATGATTCTTCAGGAATATGGCTTCTAGATTATCAAAAACAATAAAATGTCTATGTTTACTGTATTTCTGCTATAGCTTCAAGCAACTCTTCGTTTGTGGCTCTATTAATCCAATCCTCTTCTTTAACTGTACTCTGCATTTCTGAAGCTATGGCAATGGCCTACCTTTTGTATCTTTGAAACAAATCTATTGAGCAACTCGAACAGTTGGTTAAAGTTGCCGTTAAAGTAAATCGCTCGATGTAATGGGTATATATTCTTGACACGTTTAACTTTTAACTAACTGGAAATCTCCAAATAAGGGTACTGATTCAACCGATCGTTAATTCTTAATCACAGGTCATTTCTATCTTAACATGAAGCTACTGCTACTCAATACCCTTCAGATACATATCTTACGAAAAACAAGTGCACATGGTGTGAGTCACTATTTTTTAATTTTATAGTTAACTTCACGGCGAAATTCCCTCACTGGCATTTGCTGCTTATGTCAAGATGTTCATTTCACCACCCACGATATTTGCGGAGAGTTTGCTAGAACCGATTAATCTGCTTCCTTACTGTTCATGAAAGAATTTTCAAGAACCTGGACAGTTCTGGTGTTTGAATGTACTAATGATACCTTTGTACTTGTTGAATGCTCCATTTCGAATTCTAAATACAATACATTCGTTTGTGCTTGTGTCGTAATTCTTGATTCAATTGCGTTAATTCTGGGATTCCTAGTACATACTGTAATTCAAATAATTTGAAACATTAAATTGGCGTTGCGATGAAGCCTGCGATGTAAAAGTTAGATATTCATTCAACTTCTGAAGCTTTTGAAGATTATTTTGAAAGTTTCGAAATCTGGACTGTGACCAAGGAAGATGATGAGGATGTTAATATTGTAGTACATTTCCTCACATTCATCGGAAAAGAAGCATATAGCTTATTAAGAACTCCGGCTATGCCAGAAAAGCTTATCTCGCTTCCTTATACAACTCTCAAGGAACTGCTGCTAGACTATGTTAAGTATACAAATTTCGAACGCAATAAAGGAGAATTTTGTAAAGTGATTCATGAGGATATAAAAAATTCCACTACATTACTACGTCATCCCAACCCAGTGCATACTCAACGCTATGCAGATAATTCATTAAGGAGTTGCAATGCGTTTCACGAAGATGGGCACCAGTTTGGTCAATTTTTGTCCTGTGGCAAGTTCCACTCTTTTAATTCATGTAAATTTCGTAATTCCAAGTGCTTTGAATGTGGTGATATTGGATATATTCAGTCAGTCTGTAATACTAATGTTCATCTTACTCCAACTAATATTAAGTCTTGTAATTCTGATTCTACTGAGTCGAGTATTCATAATGATCATTTATCTTTACCAACGAAGTTAAAAGACAATGTAGGGTCATATAGCAGTTCGGAGTTGAATGAAACTCAGAATCCTTGTGAGACAATGGTTTCTAATAAATCAATTTGTCAGAATTCTCGTGTTATTGTACCAGATATGGATTTTCCCAATGATTCACATATTTCTGATGAAATTCCTCTTAAATATGAAGAAAATATGTTGAATGGACATAATTATGATCGAAAACCTGATGTAGTTTTGGTAGATGCTGATTTTCCTAATGATCCTTTACTCTGCAATGACATTCTTAATAAATTCGAGGAAACTATTTCAGAAGAGCCAAATCTTGATGTCATATCAAATATTATTTGTACTCAATTTGCATTTGTTTCTTGTGGTAAACTTGTTCAATGCGAAGCACTAGTACTAAATGAACTCGATTTTGATTGCGATTCGGAGGACTTCATATCAACTGCTGTTCATCCTTATCACAAATCCACTTTCAATGTATACTCTAATCAATGTGAGAAATATGTTTTCAATGAAGCCACATCATTCATAAATTGGGGATATAAAGGTCCAACATTATTTCGTGGTGGTGAATAGTGTTGAAAAATCTATGGTTCAAATTCTAGATATTAGTGATTTCAGTACAAAACCGACATGCCGATTGTATACAATTCCAGGTGAGTCTGTTCTGATTTCGGTTGTTAATTCCAAAACTAATGAGCACATTCCAGATAATACCGAGTTTTTATCCAATACAATGTCGGACAAACTCAGGATAAACTTAAGAAGAAGACGTACAACCGATTACAGACACTTATACTCGTATTTAAGCTGTGGCAGATGTGGTGTTCGAATGAACTAATGGTACCTTTGTACTTGTTGAATGCTCCATTTCGAATTCTAAATACAATACATTCGTTTGTGCTTGTGTCGTAATTCTTGATTCAATTGCGTTAATTCTGGGATTCCTAGTACATACTGTAATTCAAATAATTTGAAACATTAAATTGGCGTTGCGATGAAGCCTGCGATGTAAAAGTTAGATATTCATTCAACTTCTGAAGCTTTTGAAGATTATTTTGAAAGTTTCGAAATCTGGACTGTGACCAAGGAAGATGATGAGGATGTTAATATTGTAGTACATTTCCTCACATTCATCGGAAAAGAAGCATATAGCTTATTAAGAACTCCGGCTATGCCAGAAAAGCTTATCTCGCTTCCTTATACAACTCTCAAGGAACTGCTGCTAGACTATGTTAAGTATACAAATTTCGAACGCAATAAAGGAGAATTTTGTAAAGTGATTCATGAGGATATAAAAAATTCCACTACATTACTACGTCATCCCAACCCAGTGCATACTCAACGCTATGCAGATAATTCATTAAGGAGTTGCAATGCGTTTCACGAAGATGGGCACCAGTTTGGTCAATTTTTGTCCTGTGGCAAGTTCCACTCTTTTAATTCATGTAAATTTCGTAATTCCAAGTGCTTTGAATGTGGTGATATTGGATATATTCAGTCAGTCTGTAATACTAATGTTCATCTTACTCCAACTAATATTAAGTCTTGTAATTCTGATTCTACTGAGTCGAGTATTCATAATGATCATTTATCTTTACCAACGAAGTTAAAAGACAATGTAGGGTCATATAGCAGTTCGGAGTTGAATGAAACTCAGAATCCTTGTGAGACAATGGTTTCTAATAAATCAATTTGTCAGAATTCTCGTGTTATTGTACCAGATATGGATTTTCCCAATGATTCACATATTTCTGATGAAATTCCTCTTAAATATGAAGAAAATATGTTGAATGGACATAATTATGATCGAAAACCTGATGTAGTTTTGGTAGATGCTGATTTTCCTAATGATCCTTTACTCTGCAATGACATTCTTAATAAATTCGAGGAAACTATTTCAGAAGAGCCAAATCTTGATGTCATATCAAATATTATTTGTACTCAATTTGCATTTGTTTCTTGTGGTAAACTTGTTCAATGCGAAGCACTAGTACTAAATGAACTCGATTTTGATTGCGATTCGGAGGACTTCATATCAACTGCTGTTCATCCTTATCACAAATCCACTTTCAATGTATACTCTAATCAATGTGAGAAATATGTTTTCAATGAAGCCACATCATTCATAAATTGGGGATATAAAGGTCCAACATTATTTCGTGGTGGTGAATAGTGTTGAAAAATCTATGGTTCAAATTCTAGATATTAGTGATTTCAGTACAAAACCGACATGCCGATTGTATACAATTCCAGGTGAGTCTGTTCTGATTTCGGTTGTTAATTCCAAAACTAATGAGCACATTCCAGATAATACCGAGTTTTTATCCAATACAATGTCGGACAAACTCAGGATAAACTTAAGAAGAAGACGTACAACCGATTACAGACACTTATACTCGTATTTAAGCTGTGGCAGATGTGGTGTTCGAATGAACTAATGGTACCTTTGTACTTGTTGAATGCTCCATTTCGAATTCTAAATACAATACATTCGTTTGTGCTTGTGTCGTAATTCTTGATTCAATTGCGTTAATTCTGGGATTCCTAGTACATACTGTAATTCAAATAATTTGAAACATTAAATTGGCGTTGCGATGAAGCCTGCGATGTAAAAGTTAGATATTCATTCAACTTCTGAAGCTTTTGAAGATTATTTTGAAAGTTTCGAAATCTGGACTGTGACCAAGGAAGATGATGAGGATGTTAATATTGTAGTACATTTCCTCACATTCATCGGAAAAGAAGCATATAGCTTATTAAGAACTCCGGCTATGCCAGAAAAGCTTATCTCGCTTCCTTATACAACTCTCAAGGAACTGCTGCTAGACTATGTTAAGTATACAAATTTCGAACGCAATAAAGGAGAATTTTGTAAAGTGATTCATGAGGATATAAAAAATTCCACTACATTACTACGTCATCCCAACCCAGTGCATACTCAACGCTATGCAGATAATTCATTAAGGAGTTGCAATGCGTTTCACGAAGATGGGCACCAGTTTGGTCAATTTTTGTCCTGTGGCAAGTTCCACTCTTTTAATTCATGTAAATTTCGTAATTCCAAGTGCTTTGAATGTGGTGATATTGGATATATTCAGTCAGTCTGTAATACTAATGTTCATCTTACTCCAACTAATATTAAGTCTTGTAATTCTGATTCTACTGAGTCGAGTATTCATAATGATCATTTATCTTTACCAACGAAGTTAAAAGACAATGTAGGGTCATATAGCAGTTCGGAGTTGAATGAAACTCAGAATCCTTGTGAGACAATGGTTTCTAATAAATCAATTTGTCAGAATTCTCGTGTTATTGTACCAGATATGGATTTTCCCAATGATTCACATATTTCTGATGAAATTCCTCTTAAATATGAAGAAAATATGTTGAATGGACATAATTATGATCGAAAACCTGATGTAGTTTTGGTAGATGCTGATTTTCCTAATGATCCTTTACTCTGCAATGACATTCTTAATAAATTCGAGGAAACTATTTCAGAAGAGCCAAATCTTGATGTCATATCAAATATTATTTGTACTCAATTTGCATTTGTTTCTTGTGGTAAACTTGTTCAATGCGAAGCACTAGTACTAAATGAACTCGATTTTGATTGCGATTCGGAGGACTTCATATCAACTGCTGTTCATCCTTATCACAAATCCACTTTCAATGTATACTCTAATCAATGTGAGAAATATGTTTTCAATGAAGCCACATCATTCATAAATTGGGGATATAAAGGTCCAACATTATTTCGTGGTGGTGAATAGTGTTGAAAAA